ATAAAAATAAAATTCTAATGAATGTCAGCCATTGCTTTATACCTATTGTGTCATTTCTTTTTTTGAATTCCATTTAAACTTAACATTTTCTCTCTATTCTCTCTTCCCTGTTCTTTTGAATTTTCCATCTTTTTGCCTTTCTTTACTTTATTCTGGATTTTTTCTGCAGACTTAGTTTCCTGTTTAGTTCTCTTCATGTATTTACAGTGCACTTAGGAAAAAGAGCCCATTCGTTGAGTATTTAACTTTCTCTTGTATTATTTGTTTAATCTGTGTAACTTTAAAAGTTGTCATTTCTCTACCCAAAACTTTAATCATGTGTCTTAGACATAATAAGGCTTGTTATTTAATTTAATTTATTTATTTATTGAGATGAGGTGTCTCTGTCGCCTAGGCTGGAGTGCGGTGGCACGATCTCCACTTGCTGCAACTTCCGCCTCCCAGGCTCAAGTGATCCTCCCACCTCAGCCTCCCAGGCAGAGCGGCTGGGACCACAGGCGCCCGCCACCACGCCCAGCTAGTTTTTGTATTTTTTCGTAGAGATGGCATTTCGCCATGTTGCCCAGGCTAGTCTCCAACTCCTGAGCTCAGACAATCCGCCTGCCTCGGCCTCCCAAAGTTCTGGGATTATAGGTGTGAGACACCACACCCCGCCTGACTTGTTATTTTGAAGTCTGTTTGTAATTATTCTCCTATCCAGGCATCCAGAGTTCAGGTTGGTCTTTGTTTCTGCTAGTTTTCATTTATTTTGTCCTGTGTGCCTGGTTATCTTTGGTTGTGTTTCACATGTTCTCTTTGAAAAATTGTTACAGGAATAGGCCAGGCGCAGTGGCTCACGCCAGTAATCCCAGCACTTTGGGAGCCGAGGCAGGCAGATCGCTTGAGGTCAGGAGTTCGAGACTAGTCTGGCCAATGTGATAAAACCCCATGTCTACTAAAAATACAGAAATTAGCTGGGCTGATAACACATCCCAGCTACTTGGGAGGCTGAAGCATGAGAATCTCTTGAACTCAGGAGGCAGAGGTTGCAGTGAGCAGAGATCGCACCATTGCACTCCAGCCTGGGCGACACAGCGAGACTCCATCTCAAAAAAACAAACAACAACAGCAACAAAAGAAAAATTGTTACGGGAATAAACCAAGGACTAGATTATTAAGATGATGTTTTCTTTATCCAGAAATGATATGTGTTTTTATCTGCTAAGGGCTTTTGGACACAAATAGTCTAAACTCACTTTAATCTGATGTCAGGGATTAGAATTTTTTTCCGGGCCACCCAGATGCTTGGAAACTGGGCTGCAGTCCCTGTGAAGGCTGTTTTATTTCCAACTCACTCTCCTCCTAAAGTCTAGCCATTTGGGTTTCCAGCACACGTGGTGGGGGTTAACTAGGCCACCAACTTTGGAGGGCTTTGGAATGTAACCTTTGCCCTCCTAGATGACCCACAAGGTTATTAAAGTGATTCTCTGCACCCTTTCCCAGTATATACATGGCCCCAGGGCAAAGAGAACCAGCTGTTGCGGGCTCATGTCTGTGGAGTTTAGTTGTCTGTGTTTCTTGACCTGGAAGTTCTTCTGTGCCTTCTTAGTTCTCTGATGCTGCAGATGTTCTTTTATATCCAGCATTCTTAGTTGTGCTCGGCAGGAGTATTGGTCCCAGTGACCTGGTCAGCCCTCTTCTCTCTTTTACAAAAGGGTCTTTTAAAGGATTTTAGGATAAAGAAGATGTTGGACCTTGAGAGCTCATCTATTCCAGTCTCCTTCACATCAATACAGTAGGGTTTATCAATCACCTACCTTGTACCCAGCGCTGTGCTATTTATTATGGGAATTCTGAGGAAATGCCAGATGGTAGTGTTCCTTACATTCAAGGAGTGTAGCTGGGGAAACAAGCACAAACGTAGATAATTAAGTAAAATGTCGGAGGCAGTGCTCAAGGGTCACGCAGAGCTAATGGTGTTGGAAGAAAAAAATTACAAAAAATTTAAAGATTTTGAATGACTTTTATTTGTGATTTTAGAATCAGGTAACACCTCATTTCCATGAAAGAGAATTGTGTATTCCATTGAGCCATGGAGAAGAAGTTGGTTTTATAGACCTAAGGGCTGAAGAAAGCAGAAACAGGAAAAAAAAGAAAGTACCCTTACCACGTGCCAGGCACAGTTTACATACACACTTTATTTAATCCTCACAACAACCCACGAGGTAGCTGTTACTATTGTCTCTGTTTTACAGATGAGGAGGTTTAGGCACAAAGAGGTTTTTACAGTTAATTATCAGAGTGGTCTTCTGGGCAAGGACTTTTTCATGTATCCCTTTCTTCAGTAGGGAAATGGAAGCCCAGGAGAAGGGCTGTGAAAGTACCTGGAACTGCCTTTTGTCCTCCTGGCTGGCGCCCTGGACCTCTCCTGTTCTGTTTCTCTGGGGACTCAGGTGCATCTACTCACTCAGTCTTCTTTGGGAGTTCCCACGCTCCCCAGTTCATCTAGGCAAGGCATTGAAACTTGACTGTCCGGGGCCTCGCGAGGCCTTCTCTGCTCAGACCTACCAAGTAAACTGCCGTCCTGGAAAAGCTGATGTCAGCCTTCCCCCAAATAAACAACAGTCCTCTTCACCTTAGCCTTGAGCGATGTATGAAGGGATGTTTCTGTCATGAATAATACCCCTACTCGCAACCAGTAATGCAGCTGTGCAGATAAGCTTAAGATTTCACCAGACAAAAGCTAAATAACTCACTTCCATGATGGGCTGTTCTTTTTTAAAAATAAACTACTTTTTTACAGACAAATTGCAAAGGTAATATCGTCTCATTGTAATATCTAACATTAGTGTGGTTTATGACAATCAATGAACCAGTATCGATGTATTATTATTAACTAGATTTCGTGCTTTATTCATATTTCCTTAGTTTCTACCTAAGGAAAAATGTCATCTTTGTGTTTCAGACTCTCTTCCAGGATACCTTATTACATTTAGTTGTTATGTTTCCCTCGGCTCCTGTTGCCGAGACAGGTTCTCAGAGTTCTCGTTTTTGATGATCTTGACTGTTTTGAGGGGTACTGGTCAGGTGTTTTGTAGGATGCTCCTCTATCGGAATTTCTCTGATGTTTTCCTCATGCTTAGACTGGGCTTAAGGGTTTTGGGAAGGACTATCACAAAGGCAAAATGCCGTTTTCATGACATCATACCAAGTGTACTTGATGTTGACCTCCACTGTCTGGCTGAGGTTGCATCTGTCAGTTTTCTCCTCTGGATAGTCACTCCCCCACTTCATACTGTACTCTTTGGAAGGAAGTCATAGTGTGAAACCTAATCCTTTTTAGCTCGAAAGTAGAGTCATTATTTTAAAGTGTTTATACCATTATTATATTATTAAAAGAAAAATCTGTTTATAAATTGTTCTCTCTATAAAAGTTTTAAAAATTGTTTTCTTCAATATTGTCAAGTAGCCAGTTTCTTGCAAGAACATTTTATACATTGTGGGGATTATTGGGCCAATTTGGATTCCTTCAAGTTTTGAAGCAGTGGATTTCAAAGCTGAATAGAAAAGTCTGCAGTTTTTGCTTTTATCAGCCGCCAGACGCAGGCACAGGCTGCATGCAAGAAATCCTAACTGTTGCCCCGTCCTGTTTGGTTGTTGTGTGAACACTGGGCAGTGCTCGGCTTTGTGTTGGAAGCGTGTTTAATGAAGTCTCACAGTGCAAAACTGCTTCCTACAGAGCAAGGGTTTACTCTGGCTATTGGACCATTCCACAGAAAGCTCACTATTTAACTTTTTTTTTTTTTTTTTTTTGATACCGAGTCTCGCTCTGTCGCCAGGCTATTGCAACCTTCGCCTCCCAAGTTCAAGCGATTCTCCAGCCTCAGCCTCCCGAGTAGCGGGGACTACAGGCGTGCGCCAGCAGGCCCGGCTAATTTTGTATTTTTAGTAGAGAAGGGGTTTCACCATGTTGGCCAGGATGGTCTCGATCTCCTGACCTCGTAATCCGCCCGCTTCGGTCTCCCAAAGTGCTGGGATTCCATTTTATGTGGTACAAAGGCCTACTGAAACTTCGCCTCCTATTGAAACTTGATCTAGACTACTAGGCTGGCTCAGCGTAAAGCTGGAGTTACATGACAGTCGAAGTAGATGACCGGGGTAAAGTTACGTGGAAACTCTCCCCGTTTGCATGGCAAAAACTGAAAGAGTTTTGGTGAGAAAGTGAAATCACGTATATTGTGCACCACCTACTGGTTTAACGCACAATTACAAGAGTTTAACTTATTTGCAATTTGTTATTTTTTGAACTCACAAGTCTGGGAAAAGCGGTTTTTCATTTTTCCAAAAATTGCACCAAGGTAAAGCAAAGCTTTAGTTGATGCGGGTGTGTTGTTTAGGCGTTAGCAGTACTGCCCTCACTATGCGCTCATTGGACAGTAGCGCAACCCCAAGAAAAGGATGGTTGCGGTAGAGGTTGCGTGCGCTGCAAGCAGGAAGCGCCAATACCTGATTGGGTTGTGGTGATTAATTTGTGAGTCCCGCCCTAGTCGGTCTGGTAGCTAGCTTACCTCCAGCCTCCACGGCTTTCGACGACACCACCAATTCTTTGTTTTCTGAGGCTCCTGAAGGGTCGCAAAAGCGGCGGCTCGGTTTTACCCAGAAGACCGCGCGTCGGCCGCTCGAAAATTTGCATACGCTTTCTCGCCGGGGCGGGGCTGGAGGGGGCGGGGCCACGGCGCTCTCTTGAACTCCACGGGCGGCTAACCTGGGTTTGGCTACGCTGTACTGCCTTTTATTTCGTTTCTCCTCACCGAGTATTTTCCATTATAGCTGTACACAGCTCTTTTTGTGGAAAATCATCCTTCCTCGTGCTAATCTCTTTGGTCCTCCAGTCGGCATGCGCGCTCTGGACTCTCGGACTGCGTCTGGGCCAGAAATGTCGAGGCGTCCCCGGAGCGGGTGGGCGGGAGCGCTGCCCCGCAGGCCGGCCGCTAACGGGCTCCCGGTGTTTCCCGCTGCAGGTGGTTCTGCTGGGCATGGACATCCTGTCCGCCCTGGTGACCCGGCTGCAGGATCGGTTCAAGGCGCAGATCGGCACAGGTGAGCTGCGGCACTTGTGGAGCGGACCCGGCCCCTTCAGACCCCCAGCCTTCCCTCGGTCTCCCGGCTTCTCCACTTAGCTGCCTCCAAACCCTCCCGGCCGCCACCCTGCCTCCCCTCCAGCTCCCTCGGCCTCCCTTCCGCTCCTGCCAGTCAGTCAGTCCCCGCCCTCCCCCGCAGCCCCCGCAGCCCCCGTAGCCCCCGCAGCCCCGGCCGGCCGCCCCGCTGCCTTCCCTTCCCGCTGGGCTTCCTGGCCTCTGGCCCTTCCCCTTCCCCATACCTTGTACTGGCTTCACTGTGTTCTCATACGGAAATTAGTAATACCTGTTCTAATATGAAATATTAGTGTCATTTTTATTTCTTATGCTAAATTAGCTGTCACCCTTTGTGCCAACCAAGTCATATTTGACCCTGACCGCGGTCCCCTTTAATGAGAGGCGGTTTTCTTTGAGAAATCCTGTAAAACCAAGCCAGTTGTATTTTTTTTCCCCAGATGACTATGGTTGGCATTACTATTTTCACCTTGATTGTAAATGTCATTACAAGTGTATAGTAAACGTTCACCGTTATTCTGAAGGAAAAACGATGTGTCAGCAAAATGGAACAAACCCCACAGATTTCATAGATTTAAATACCTCTAAATTCCTGACCTCCGGTGTTTCATGGGGGCGGTATAAACACGAAGCAGCTCTATGCAACCATTTCCTTATGGAATTTCTCTATTTTACATTGGTATACATGTATTGTTTTCTGTTAAGTTTCTGACCAATATGCTCTTTCTGAAAAGGTCGTGAGCTATTTTCCCATTCTAGCACCGACTGTTTACAAATTTTTTTTAAAAAAACCTTTACTTTTAGAAATTTGATATTTTAATAGGGTTCCATTTTCCTCCTAAATTAGCTGAATTATTCAGGGATAGCTCTTGTTATAGAGGTTTGCAAGCTCTTAAAATAAGCTGATCTCTGGTTTATAGGTGCACTTGGAGCACTGGTGGGAGGGTCCACACTGGGTAGGTGGGGGAAGATGGAGAGCTGGGCTCTGTCTCATGTGTGTTTGGGTGTGATGTAAAACTAAAAATACACAATGTTGAGGAAATGTAAGATTATTCATAAGTGCCTACCCCTTCCACCCCCAAACACATATGCTGGAGCCCCTCTCCTTGTCTTTTACCTAAATTTTCCTTTCTATTGACTCCTCCTATCAAGGTCTTCAATTTTTATCAGCTTACAAATACGTTTGGAACTGGCTGGAGGAACGTGGGGTAAGGAGGAAGACAAATAGTATATCTTTCCATGCAAAGGATTTTGCAGACTCTTTTGGTGACTCTCATGGATTTCAGCAAGGAGAGTAGAGCTGTGAGCAAAGATGAGTGGTTTTAGGAGGAGATACATCATTTGGGTCAGGGGTTTGTCTTCCCACGTAATTGAAATAGCAGTACTTGGTGACCGCAGACCCCCAAATAGGGTTTCATTTGATCAGTTTCCGTTTTGATTTTCAGTGCTGCCAAGTCTAATAGACAGACTAGGAGATGCTAAAGACTCTGTGAGGGAGCAGGACCAAACTCTGCTGCTAAAGATCATGGATCAAGCTGCTAATCCCCAGGTAGGGGCAAGAGATGTGTTTTGAGGTCAGCTGGCCAGTGCGCATGCAGTTGCGAGGGTGTGTGTGTGTGCTTGCACAAACGGTGTGACTCCATAGACTTAAGCTGATGTATTACAGATAAAAATTTTCACAGCATTCAATCTGTTTACTCATGCAAGATAGTTAAATAAATAAGTCACAAAAGTATGAGATGAATAGTGGATTTAACATGGGGGTATTGAATAAATTAGTGAATCTAATATACTTAGTTTTAATCCATTAGACCCTTCAGCTCATTTATGTAACCGACTCTCCAGTTGTCTGAAAAGAGGAAGCCGTGGTGTCTGGGAGTCAGGAGGCCTGGCTGGAGCCCTGGCCCCTGTCTTCTGGTTAATTGGGGCTGCTGGGATGGACCGAAACAGCCTTGCCTTCCCAACTTCCACTGTCCTTTATTGGGGGGTGATGAGAAAAAGCAGAGGGCAGTGTGAGTGTGTGATCTTTGGCAACTCACTGGCTCTTTTGACCTGGCTTTCCTCACCCATAAAATGAGGACAGTTGTACCTCCCTTTTAGGGTTCTTGGGAGAATTAAATGCTTGTGTAAATGAATGTGTTTCAAAAATTATAATTTAGTATACTTGGTAACATGATAGATGTCATCATTTTCCAGTATGCTCTTGAGAGGATTAAATGTGTTGGTAGAGGATGGGACTAATTTGGCACCCGTTAAGAGGCTTGCCTTCTGTTGCTCCCTGACTAAGTGACAGCTGCAGCAGTCTTCTCCTTTCCTCACCTGTTCTTTGTCATCTACAGTACGTATGGGACAGAATGCTCGGAGGCTTCAAACACAAGAATTTCCGTACTCGAGAAGGCATCTGTCTCTGCCTTATAGCAACACTCAATGCGTAAGTCTGGGATGAGCCTGACATTTTTACCTGGCTGAATTTTTTTTAACTTTTTACTTAGAAATAATTACAGATTTACAGGAAGTTGCAAAGAAGTGTAGTATGAGGTCTCACACCCCCTTTACCCACCCTTGCCCAGTGTTAGCACCTTGAATAACTATAGTACAGCATCAGTCCCAGAACATTGAGATTGATACAATCCCTAGAACTTGTGCAAGCCTCTCAGGTAAACACATGTGCATTTGTGTGTATATGTAACTGTACAGTCACTGCAGGGCTCCCTCATGCTGCCATGTGTAGCTACATCCTGACCCCTGGCAACAGTCAATCTGTTTGAATTTGCACGAATCTGCTCTCCCTGCCTATGATTGTGTCATTTCAAGAGTGTTATGTAAATGGAATTATACAGTATGTAACCTTTTGAGTTTTATCTTTTTTTCACTCTGCATGATACCCTTGAGGTTACACATCACATTGATAGTTCATTTTATTGCTAAATAGAATTCCTTGGTATAGATGTATCACAGCTGGTTAAACTATTCACCTGTTGAGGAACATTTGGGTGATTTCCAGTTTTTGGCTTTTATAAATGAAGCTGCTGTGAACATGCATGTACAAGTTTCTACACAAATGTAAGTTTCCATGTCTCTTGGATCAGTGCCCAAGAGTACACTTGCTGGGTCATTTGGTAAGTTCATTTTTAGTTTAAAAGGTACTGCCAGTTTTTTCCCCAGAGTTGTCCACACTGTTTTACGTTCCTACCAGCAACGTCCGAATGATCTGGTTTCTACATACCCTTGCTAGCCATTGGATGTTGTCACTTTTTTATTTTAGCCATTTTTATATGTGTGTAGTAATACCTCATTGTGGTTTTAATTTGTATTTATCTAATGGCTGTTGATGGTGAACATTTTTTTCATGTACTTATTTTTAGGAGAGGCTTTTTTAAAATTATAAATTTCAAGACTTTTTTCTGGTTATGAAAATAATACTGTATATATCATAAAAATTTACACAAGGAAAAAATAAAGATTACTGTAATTCTGTTACCTTCAGATAATCATTTTATCCTAACCTGTAAAGTTATGTTATTTTTAAAAACAAAATTGAGATTGTAATGTTTATATTACTTGTACATTTTTTCCATCTTAATATGTTAGCTTTTTCAGTGCCATTAAATTTGGCCATAAGTAGCTGAAGCTTTAAAAACAAAAACAAAAACAAAAAAAACCCTCTAGCCTTTGATCACAGTAGCTCCAGTTCTAGGAATTTATGGTAAGGTAGTAGGCAGATTAACCAAGAGATTTTTATTCACAAAGGCCATTTGTCATGGCAGGGATGGTGATGGTGAAAATTGTAACTCAAATGTGCCCCAGTAGGGTAGTACTTGGCTCAGATGTGCCCCAGTAGGCAGATGCTCTGATTTGATTGCAGTCTTTTCATCCAGCGGTATTGCCTGACTGTCTACCGTAGCAGAGGGCTCTGCCACAGCACATGGGAGAGTTAAACAAAGTCCCTCCAGTGACTCGTAGTTGGCTTACAGTGACAGAACAGTACTGCAGAGGCAGCACCTGTGAGGCAAGCGGGACCGGGGGTGCTCTGGCCCAGCCTTAAAGGGGTAGGGCCGGATTGGCCAGAGCCCTGAGGGACAGGAGGAAGACTCATCTGGGAGAAGCCACCCTAGGTTTTGAACTCTGTGCAAAGGGGCCATCGGACACATTTACTTTGGAGCCAGTGTGGATGGGATGGAGAGAGACTTGGTATGAGGTGGTGATGGGGATTGGGGAGACACAGGAAGGGCAGGTGTGGGCAGACAGGCGTCTGTCTTTCTTCAGTTCTCACTAACAAGAAAGCACTCCTTTTGTTTTCAGCTCTGGAGCGCAGACTTTAACACTAAGCAAGATTGTGCCACATATATGCAACTTACTTGGAGATCCAAACAGCCAGGTGAGTGAGAAGGAAAACCCGCGGGGGAGGTCATTGCTTACAGACTGTTGAGATGCATTCTGGTGCTCTGTGTATACCCAATAGGTGGGTGGGACTGGAGTCCTAATCTTCATAGAACAATGATGATTTTTTAAGAGATCCAGTACCCATTAGCATTTATAAAATATTTATACATTTAAATATATAAAATAAGTTTGCGTTTAAGTTTAAAATTGGTAAATGTGGTGGCCACTCTGCGCTCTTCCATACACAGGGCTGAGAAATCAACTCCTAGAAACTGATGTTTTCCAGACCAGCCTCCAGGATAAGATGTCTGGCCACCACCTCTGCAGCCAAAAGGGGTGGTGCTGGGGGTGGTGGTGCAGAATCTGCTGAGGTGGGGGAGAATGATTGGAAGAGGGTCTGAGGGGACTTTTCTGAGGTGATGGGAATGTTTTACATTTTGCTTTGTGGGGGTGGCTCCACTGTGTATATCATTGTGGAAACTCCTTGAACAGGAGTTTTTAGGCAGATTTTACCTAAATTAACGAAAAGTACCACTTCTTTAGTGTGAGGGTAGGAGAGGAGCTGGCTGTCTCACCTGTGAGTTACCAGGCAATTCAAAAGTTGTACAAGTCTGGACTGGAGAAGTAGCATTGAACTCTCCTCCCAGTTCAATGCTATTTCTCAACCAGAGTCATTTTTATTATGTCATCTCATACAAACTGATAGGAATGATACTTCATTAGAAGAAGGGACAGAAAGTGGAACAGTAATTTACAAGGTAAATATATATGGGCAGTGGCCTCTCTGTGAAATCTTGGTTGATAATTGCTAAGTTACCCTCCCAGGAGGCTGTATCAGGCTGGCCTTCCACCCAGCCTCCCTTGGCCTCTAGCTCCCCTGAGTCTGCACCCCTCCCCTCCTGCTCTCCAGGCCCTTTCCTTACCTTGCTCTTAGTTCCAGCAGCAGGTGTCTCTCCCTTCTCTTTGGCTGTTGTGCTGCTCCTTCCACTCCAGCCTCTCCCCTCCTCACTGCCTGTCGTCTGCTGTCTCCCTGCTTGCTTATTCCACTCATGCCGTTTTTCAGCCTTTGTTGAAAATATATAGCATTAGGCTGGGCATGCGGTGGCTCATGTCTGTAATCCCAGCACTTCAGGAGGCCAAGGTGGGTGGATCACTTGAGGCCAGGAGTTTGAGACCAGCCAGGCCAACATGGTGAAACCCCATCTCTACTAAAAATACAAAAATTAACCAGGCCTGATGGCATTCACATGTAATCCCAGCTACTTGAGAGACTGAAGCACAAGAATCACATGAACCTGGGAGGCAGAGTTTACAGTGAGCCAAGATCATGCCACTGCATTCCAGCCTGGGCAACCCAGCAAGACTTTGTCTAAAAAAAACAAAAAAAAAGAAAAGGAAAATACATGGCATTGGAAAGAAATGCTTAGGATTTTTTTTCTTCTTCTAAGAAAGAAAAAGGCGAAGTCTCGCTCTGTCATCCAGGCTGGAGTGCAGTGGCGTGATCTTGACTCACTGCAAGCTCCACCTCCCGAGTTTACGCCATTCTCCTGCCTCAGCCTCGCGAGTAGCTGGGACTACAGGCACCTGCCACCACGCCCGGCTAATTTTTTGTATTTTTAGTAGATACGGGGTTTCACCATGTTAGCCAGGATGGTCTCGATCTCCTGACCTCTTGATCCACCCACCTTGGCCTCTCAGCGTGCTGGGATTACAGGCGTGAGCCACCACACCCGGCTAGACATTTTTATTTACTTAATCATACTTTATATTCAACGTTAATTTAAAAATAAATGGAACTATTTTTTAAAAAGATTCTAAATTACCAAATAGATTATTGTTTTGTACCCTTTCCCCTTTGGGTTTTGTTTCTGTTTTTGTTTTCCGTGGGAAAAATCCTTTGTAGAGGCGGCACTCTGGGGGTGTGGCTGCTGCCACGTGGAGTGCTCTAGCAGAACAGAAAAGCCAACTTGCTGAGGTGATTCTATCCTCTTTCAGTTGCTGACTTTGGCCAGACAGGTGATGTGAATGTTCACACTGCCTGTGGAGATCTTAGAACCTGGGGTGGGTGGTGCGGGGCTGGCTCCTCTAAATGCACTTCCGCGGTGGAGGCAGTATAAAAACACAGGCCAGACCTACACCGTCCAGAACGACAGCAAGGGACGTTGTCTAGAATCCGGTTTGGGGAGGGAAGCACTGTATGGCTGTGCACCACACTGCCGTCCATCCCACAGGGTCCCCTCACTAACCCCTGTTTCCCCTTCTTCCTCTTTTTCTTCCACGTATATTTAGCGAGAGCTCGTGCTGTGGGCCTGCCTTGTCTGTCTGGATCCTTGGGCTTTTTGGGGAAGGGGATGGAGATTACTAGCTTAATTTTGCTTCTGAGACCCAGATTTTGCTTCTGTGACTGAGGTGGACCACATCCTCTAGAGGAAAGTGAAGGAAATGCCTCGTTGTCCTAGTGCTCTTCACTGATGTATAACCTCAGTATTTCCCTGCCCAAAAGATCATGCATTCGGTGTAGATTTTAAGAGACATTGGGAGTGGAACGTAAGCACATTTAATATTTTGAATGGGTCCATTCTCATCCTTGACGCTATTCAGGTGAGCCTCGGAGAGTGCCTTACTCTTCACAGGGTTTCCTTGTCCCTGAAGTTCTCTGCTAGAGGAGGCCTCACTTAAAGGTTCCCTAAAGCTTCGGTAGAAAGGAGACAGGTAGGGCCTAGTCTGCTTTTGTGTTGGGCTACTCTCTGATACTATTTTTTTCCTTTAGATCTAGAGTTAACTTGTAAGTTCTTTAGGGATTTTAACAAGATTTCCTTTATTTTAGAAGTACACAGATTAAATTTCAAACGATCAGCACAATCCCACATTCTCAAAATGCTGATTCAGTTGTTTAAGAATTTAAGATAATGTTGAGTCTTTAACAGTTTGACATACTGTTCTGAAGTTGCCAAAAGGCAGAGTATGTTAAATATTAATACTTGAGCTACCTGACGCAATGTAAGACACCTAGGTTAAAGGCATAGATCCCTGCTTTGTATGTAATAGCTGACCTTGGGGTCATTTGGATCTTGAACCTCAGTTTCCCCTTTAAAGTGGAGGCAGTGGTAAGTGCCCCACCCCTCAATCCTTATGAGAGTCCTTGCAGTGAATGTTCTTAGGTGCTGGTGTGACCTGTTGGTCCAAGTAGAAGACTCTCAGAAGGCCAAGTTACTCAGTAGTCTCCTCCTCATCTGAGATGGCCATTTTCATTTGCAGAAGTCATGCACCTACCATGTGCCAGTGGGTTTCTGAGAAACTTAGGTGTATAGTGCTTTAAATATATGAAAAGCCTTAATTGTAGGATAGCCTTAGTGTCTTGAGATGTATTTGTGATACTGACATAGCCATACTTACCCCAAACATTGGCAGCCCTGGAGTAGACTGTGCACATACTGCCACGTACCAGACACTAGTTCACTACCACAGATCAGGTGCTCCTGACTGATTGTGGGTAATAGTAATAATACAACTGAAAAACAAAAGTAGTACGTTTAAATGGATCACATCTTACTGCTGTATAAATCACAAATAGATCGTATAATTTTAAAAAAAATTTATGAAGAAACAGAGATAGTTTTTAAAAATAAGATAGAAAATGTGAGACTTGTTTAAAATGTTTCATTAAGTCAAAAATTCAAGTTAGCACTTCTTGCCTAGTGTCTTTAATGGCAGTTATACTGTTTGCGCCAGGAAGCCCTAGGCTTTGGCCAGGAGTTTGGAACCTATAGTGGTTTTGTGGGTTGAGTTCTAGGCCTGTGTGTCTGCTTTTGAGAAAATTCTTATTATTTGTTTTGTTTTTTCATTTCCCCCACCTCATCCGTAAAATGAGATTGTTACTCTATGGGCAGCTTTCAGTATTCTGTAGTAGACAGGATTTACGGCTAGAGTATTCCAAACTGAGACTCTGAAAATAATCTATATATTCACATGTGCCTTAGGAATGGTTTGTCCGCACATATATTTGCACACATAGACACGCACATACACAGACATACAGTCAATCCATATCTCTCTTCTGCCAGGAAGTTCTGCCATCCACCTCCCCGATACTAACCAAGTTAATTATTCCTGCTTCTGGGGTTCTTGTGTAGCTTGCATGTGCTTTTGCTGTTGCCTTTATTTTAATTTTTTCATTAACCTTTCCTACTAGTTTCTGATCCTCTAGATTTAGGATTATAACTTGTTCCTCTTTGCAGTTCCCAATGCCCCATAATTATTTGAATAACTTTCCTTTATTTGCCAAGTCTCAGACCAGAGGGGACACTGTTGTATCAGCGTTGTCTCTGCCCTCAGGCGCCTGATCTAGTGGTCAGCCTCCAGCTCTTCATTTCCATACAGCCAGTGTGTGGAGAATCCTCTCAGCTCTTTGGGCAGTGGCTAACAGAGGCTGGATTTGGTGTTTAAAATTAACTCGGCAAGTATTCGTTTCCTTAGTGGTCTGAGTGCAGTGACTCAGAGCAGGGAAGCCTTTCAGAGGGGGCCACAGGTGCACAGAGTGTGTGGGCTAGGATGCTTTTGGTTACAAGTGACTGAAAGCCCAACTGAGAATCATTAGAGCAGTGGGGAAATGTGTCATTCTGCATGATGACGGGTCCTGACATAGGAAGTTTCCGGGATCTGCCAATAGCTCGGAGCCGGAGTCTCAGGCATCTCAGGCTGTGTGTGTTGCCCCCTGGAGCTCTTAGCACAGGCACAGCACAGGTACAGCTGCTGTACGCATGCACAGTTGGCCTGGCAGAGGGGAGGCGCTTCCTGAGCTCCTCTTCTGTTTTCAACTTTCATATTGAAAGGTTCAAACATACACATAAGTAGTGATAGTGCCATAAAGCGTCCCCATGTGCCATCAGCTCATTTGACAAGGCCAGTTCAGTTTTGCCTTTTTTCCCTCCTGCATCCCATTATTTTGAAGCAAAAGTTGGATTATTTTGAAGCAAATCTTAGGCCACATTTATT